CACTCATTACATACAACGAGACGACTATAACACTGTCGGCGCCGCACAACACATCCGTCCTATACTATCAATATTGCGGTCCATTTATAGTACTGTTGCGTACATTTGCCCAATATATCAATACTAAGTATTTAAATAAATAGAGTTTAATTAAAAATTTTAATTACTAGATTATTTGATTAATAGCTCTCTTAAGTATCTTTTATGATAGCTATCAATGATAAAATTAGCTATCCTAGAAGATACTTACAATACATATATTCCTTAGGACGGCTATAAATCAAATGGCCTAATAAATTATTAGTATTATAAATTATAATAATATTTCTATTTGCAAAAACAGTTTTATTATACGTCCGCACATTAGAAGCGGTTTAAAGTTTGGTGAAGAATATGCCCTTTCATTCATTAAAGAAGGGGTCAATAAATTCGCTCATTTTATTGTATTCCCCTTACAATCCGTGGCAATTGTTGACATGTATATTTCATCATGGTCGTACAATTTTACTACATATATCGGCCAAATGGACTCCGATGTCATCATAAGCAAACCATTATTGAGTATGTATTGTATTATGTTATACACGGTATAATACGTGTTAATTATTATTTGTTAACATTTTTCTAAATCGCTGAAGAAAATATTTACAAAAATGATTTTGATATTTATACATTGTAATTATTGTAATTACATAGTAATTATTATTTTTTATAATATGATAAAATACACACCATGTATTAATTTCTAAATATTATTAAGTTGTTTTAATTAATTTTTATAGTTTATGATAAAAACATTAATAATCATTATAATGACATTAATGCAATATATTTAATAATAATTAGTTTAAATCTTAAACTTGCTTACAAACATTCAAATGGTAAGTGAGCAAGCACAACTATACTGTATTAATAGACATACTTATTTAATTAACAGTAAATCGGTCAGCTTTTAAATTCATTGACTGTTGGGATTATAATATCTATGTTTGCATTTTATTATCATTACTGGCCATCGGATCGGTGTTTGGTCTCAAATACCGGTCCGTCGGCATTGGTTTGGAGACAATGTGGAGCTATTTGTCGGTCTTATTATCCGATTATTTCAATGTTAAACAAATTAAGAAATCATTTGACCGCCTGTTCGCCGGTCTATGGCTTATCATTTGTTTGATGTTATTATCTCTATATTCGGCCAAACAATACGATATTATGATCGCCGGACAGACATATGACATGATTGAGACCTACGATGATTTGCACGCCAAACCCCAGTGGACACACTTAAACATACATGCTTATAGTGTTGAGTACCTTAATCAAATTATGTACGATATAACTGATCGCAATAAAATTGCTTTAAAATTACTCAAACGATTTGTAGTAAAAGAACCGTTTGGTTTGTTGACAAATATTTCACAACTACGGCAACTATATAAAGATGTGTTGGCCGGCAATGCCGTTATAATTGCGCCCAAATTTCTGGGTTATTATCTGTTAAGAAATATTGAAAGTATATTTGGAAATTCTTATCGACAGGACATTGATTATCACATATCGACTGCAGATATAAGCAAAACGTTTTACTTTTGGGGCGTAAATAATGAACGATTAAACCAATCGTTTGTCAATCAATTTAATCAAATGTGAGTAAAATCTCTGATGTAATAAATACATAATATATTGAATATTTAAGTTATAATTATTTTTTTTTAAAACTTATATTATTAAGAAGTATGCTTTAAAATTATATAATTTTAAAATAAACCATGATCAATTTATGACTATATGTTTGATCTGTATAATTTTTATGTTTACAATTTTGTTTTATTGTTTAGTGTGAAACGTATGCAACAAAACGGTGTCTATGAGTATAAAGTAAGCAAATCATTGAAACCTTTGGGTTTTGGTCCCGATATATACGACAAACCGATTGTCGATAAGACATATGATATCATATCCATTGCAGACATCGTTGGCGTCGTTTGGCTCTTAATCTCAGGCATAACTCTATCAACACTTTTACTGATCATTGAAATGATATATTCGTGGAAACTATTTAAACAAATTATTTCTTCACTGAATTTTATTATTCAATTTACAATCCAATTATTTATTTAATTCGCTTGTTTGCAAAGTGTAGTAAAAATATTGTTAGATGTTTGTTTAAATTATAGATCGGTATTTAAATCAATGCACAGTTTGGTTACATCAAGTGTTTTACTTTAATTATTGTGACAAAATAAATAAACATTTAATAAAAATACATTAATCAAAATAAAATATTTACAAAACACTTTTTTATAAATTAGTATTATCAGTACATTATAACTTGATAAAAAGATTTAATAGCGAACAATGTTTAATCAAGACCAATGGCCAACCTATTAGAAGCTATTACAGCATGAACTCTCTCTCTCTCTCTCTCTCTCTCTCTCTC